CAACCCAAGAGCGATGGCCTCCAACCTACTTGCGACGGCCTCCAACCTACTAGCATCTCACATGAGAGGTATTTGAAAGTCATCCCAAATGGCTGCCACCAGCTGTTCCAGGCGCAAGAATCCGCGGGCCCGCGCGCGGAGACGGACACGTCCAAAGACGGAGACGGAGGGAATGATGAATGGTTCCCTACAGGAGAACATCTTGCTGAAGGCATTGTGATTCGGTTGCATTCTTTCTGTAGGCTTGTTAACACAGAGTCAACAGTCTTTTTTGCATAACTTCGTCATGTTCATGTCGTGATTTCTTGGTGCAGGGGCCCGTCGAATGAACGGTAGATACCGGAAGCCTTCGTTTGCGGAATGTTCCCGCGTCCGAACCATCCCAGACCCTCAGTGGTGACATTTGGGTACATGATGGTACATGTCAATGTAAGAAATGGGGAGACGTTCCAGAGTCCCAACCATCCCAAACCCATCGAATTCTTGGTGCTGCTTCCTTTCACAGACGCCTTGCACCAATCCTTTCTGCTTTGGCCACTGGTCCAGCATGCAGGATAAGGCAGATGTCACACAGCAAGCTGCCTGGAGCTGAGCCAATCTGAGACAATCGGGACGGGACTTGCTTTCACATCTTCCGGCACAGAAAGGATCAACATGTATGACATGAAGAGCTTGTGGTCGTTTGCCGGGATCAGGTTTTTTTGGGATATGCATGACCAACTCGTGAGATCACAAGATAACACTGGATCACATCGTTGTAATCGTTGTGTTGCCCATTCTTGTTTGTTTCGAGAGATCGCCCGACCCCAGGTGCGCGAAGTCATCGCTTGGCTGGATGGACGCTGCTGAGCGACGGTGTCGTGGCGACGACTGCGAGGGACGTGTGGCCGCTTGTGGTGAAGGGTCGGAGCCATATTTTCGCCGAGCTGGTGGAACAAGTGCCTTACTAGTAGTAACAGGTGCCTTACTAGTAGTAACAGCTGCATCGCTACTACGAACAAGAAGCTACTAGGACCTCCTTTGTTCTCACTTCGAGAATGATAGGGTGGAATCAGATGGAAGCGCCTACAAAGGCCTTGATGACGAATCAACTGCTGCATTTGCTCCAAGCAAGCAAACCCAGCGGCGATGGCCTCCCATGAAAAACCCGTAGGTTCGCTCAGGCGAGTTTTCCGGTTTGGCCAGGACAAGGAATCAGTGGCATGGCTCGAAGCCTGGCCTGGAAGGTCACCCACTTGGCATGGCTAGGTGTGGCCCCAAAAGGCGCTTTGCCCGAAGACAAGCTGTTGGTGACATCACGGAAGTCTTCTGACCTTTGCCCGAAGTCTAGTTTCAAGCCTCTTACGAGTTAGGAGTCTTCCAAAGTCTGACCCCATCAAAGACCGCTAAGGGCCACATGATGTGGCATGTGGTTCTGGCCAACCAGCTGTCCGAACAAGTCTGATTGATCCTTCGGCGAGGGGCCTGCATCTTCAAGTGTGGAACATCAACTGATTGAGCCTTACTAGTAAAAGGTGCCTTACTAGTAGTAACAGGTGCATCGCTACTAGTAACAAGAAGCTAGTAATTCAGTTTTTCTTTTTATTTGTTAAGGAATTAGTGGAACATCAACTGATTGAGCCCATGGAATTGATCCCACGAATCCGATGTTCGTTTGCTTTGCTGTCGATGCTGCGACCTGGCACGTGCGGCACGTCCTTCCAGGAATCGGTGCCGTGGAAGGTTCTGAAATCACCCAGAATCCCCAACCTACCCGAGATGTGGTATAGAAAGAGGCTGAATGCCAAAGAAGGATGCTATTAGGTTGGAGGCCATCGCTACTGGGAACAAGAAGCTACTAGCTCTGGGGGTTGGATTGCAATCAGCGGGGCCTTTGCCGTTACTTGTAGGGCCATTGGGGCTTCCACAGAAAGTCCCCATGTTGATGGCAAGTGGATTTGATTGGATTTGGTGAGTCAACCGCGCAATGAAGTGGCTGTTATCGCTATCCCCTTGAAACACAGCCGCCTGGAAATGACCTCCACCATGCGTTTGGGGCAAACACGATTTTCGCAACGGCGTGCCACCACAACTCACGTCCGAGCCGGTCCTGGCCTGTCAAACCCGAGCTTGCGAAAAGATCAGCTGCTGCGGAGAGCTTGCCGTGACTGACACGGAGCGGTTTTATGAAAACGAACAGCCTTTGCTTGTTCGCATGACATGTTTCGGTTCAATGCACTTCGAATGTACCTCAAAACTGTCTACGTTTTTTCCACTACAATGTGCAGAATCTCTTGGCCCCAAAACAAAGGTCGCGTGATGCTGCCCCTTCGTGCTGTCCGAAAGCGCGTGATCCGCTGCGCAGGTGCCCGAACTGGCCATCGACGACTTCAGCGACTACGAGGACGACGCCCACGCGCGGCGCAGCTCGTGGAATGCCTGGATCCTTGATCGGCAGTGGTCGGAGGGGCCCTGGTGTTGTTCATTGGGTTTGAATAGACTCCGCCCTTGTTGAGGTGAACGAAAGGGTGAGGTTTTGGGCAGACGATGTTGTTCATCTACCTGGAAAACGCTACATAGGTTAAACTGGCTAGTTTCAGGTCGTGGCTTACGTTGGTGAAATCGATGCGTGTTCCCTTGGATGCATTCGGCAGATGTTCGGCCAAAAATTTCTCGTCCGGTGTAGACGAGAGCCACGTGCCCCGAAGGTCTTCGGGGGTGCGGAGTCAAAACCCTCACCGTCTGCACGCCGCCCGCCTGGCTTCACGCACCCTCTTCACCCGGGTTTTCGGCCTGGCAAGTGCCGAGGCCTTGGATGAACATGACTGGGCAAAGCTGGAGAAAGGTGGGGGTGGAGATGGAGGGCATTTTGATGACTGCAACCGCTGCCGGGTCACATGTGATGTACACTGAGTACTACTCCCAAAAGACAAGCAAGACCCGCACCGGATCACCAGCGTCTCCAGCTGTGTCTCAGACGTGGTGGACTGTTCTGATGCGATCAGGTCTCGACGGCGAGAGAAGCCCAGCAGAGAAGTCGTGAGAAAAAGGGGGTGCTGTGGGAAGCGACTCACCGTGCTGGTTTGGGGAAGCTGATGGCTGTGGGTTTTTCATGGACTGGGTTGGGTTGAATGGAAGTGCGAATAGGAATAGGAAGACAGATGTGGTTGATGTCATGTACCATGAACTATTGATTTGTGTTTTCCACATTGCTACCGAAGGAAAGCAAACATGATGAAGACACCATGTGTGTTTCTCCTTGGCCGCACAATCCATTGCCAGTTGCCAGAGACTTGTTATAGACGAAAGGGTTCATCAATTGAAGTCGTTCCTCAAATTAAATGCGCCACCTCTCGTCGTTAGCGACCAATGACTTTGACTGTTTGAGACTCCGACGCTAGACTGGTCGCCGCTAGACCAAAAGATGCAAGATCGGTGCCGACTTTGTCCAGCTTTGGCTAAGATGGGTTGATACAACTGGTTGTCATTGATCCATCATGATAATACCACGACCTATTGAACCCCTCCTAAGAAAATCCACTTCTTCATCCAGCTATCAAAAAGATCCACACTGAACGCAGACTGTTCTCGGTTGAGATGCTTGGTACAACACTTTGGTTTCATTGTTGAGGCTTCTCAGGAAGCCAATTCTTCTTCGACGGGTACCTGCCAGCCATGAGAAAGGCCACGAGTGATGAGCCATGAAGCGAAGTGATTTTAGCCATGGCAGTCTGACTCTGATGGAGAAGCATGAGACCAGCATGAGACGCTTGCGTTTGTGTGTCTTCCTTTCGGGAAGAAGCCGAGAACGCAATTGGAAGGATTGCCATTCCATTCGAGTCCGAGTCCGGAAATATTCAAACATTGACTCTAGAAGCAATTGCTGGACGGTGCACGGCGAAGGTGACCCATATTTGAATATTTGCTTGATACACATCTAGTGGAATGTTGTCAGAACGTCTGTTTGCAGGAGATCCATCTAGATAGACATCTATAGAATGTCATATAGACATTGTTGATCTATATTCGCATGGAATGTTTGATCTATTTCCCTAAGATCCACCTCATTTGAGCTCATTTGGTGACCCAATGACAAGACGTACGGGGGTTACTAACGCGTCGGAGCATCAACGGCTGGGCCTGCCTTTGTCACAGGCCCGGCTGGAGCTCTTGCGCTCTCGCCTGGGGTGGCTGAAGGACGCTGGAAGGTGTCCAAGCTAAAAGGAAACAATGTTCGCTAGTAGTAACAAGTGCATCGCTAGTAGTAACAAGTGCCTTACTAGTAGTAACAAGAAGCTATTAGAAACCATGTTCACTAGTAATAACAAGTGCATCGCTAGTAGTAACAAGTGCCTTACTAGTAGTAACAAGAAGCTATTAGAAACCATGTTCACTAGTAATAACAATAAGCTTCTTGTTACTAATAGTAAGGCACTTGTTACTAGTAGTGAGGCACTTGTTTCTAATAGCTTCTTGTTAGTACTAGTAA